CTGCAATTACACTCCTCATTGATTCAGACGCAACAGTCGGTGACAGAAAATATAATCGACGTGCAATTAATTGATTTCCTCAATAGGAGAGCGTTATTGGATGGGTTGTTAATCAATAGTGACAACAATGTGCTCAGCATGGAAGTAACTGAGAGGGCGAAACAAATTAAAATGTCTTTAAACTGCTGAATTATTTACCGTTCCAACATGACGGCTGGTTGTTCTCTGTTATTAGATATTTACAGAAAATTAATAAGATGAAGTTTGTATCGATTAAGTTATTTTTATGATTTGAGGACAATTATTATTTATTAGAGGCACCTGGCAACTGAAAGTACAATCAAATCTAAACCTATATCCAAGTTTGAAACAGGCTTAAGATTATATAAAAGCTTTTATTTGGTTTAATGGTTTTATGGGTTTAGATCAGAGCTGCAACTATTAGTCGATTAATCAATTAGTTAAATTAATCGTCAACTATTTTGATAACCGAGAGTCCGAATTGTCTTCAGCTTCTCAAATGTGGTTATCTGGTTTCTTCAGTCCTCTGACTGATTTTTCACAATTTTCTGACATTTTATGGACCAACTAATTGATTAATTGATTTATTAATTGAGAAAATGAACACCAGATTGACCGATAATGAAAATAATTGTTAGTTGGAGGCCTAATTTAAATGAAACCACTGATCAAATAGGAAGTATTTGGTTAAAACTTACTGAGAGTCCACACAAAACAGGACACAAGTATGTATCAACGCTCTGTTACTACAACACTAATGACCTCAGTGTGTTTTAATTGGGTCTCTATCTCAAGACTACAAAAGCTCCAGCAGAGGACCAGCAGCTCCTCCCTCAACAAAGCTGATGTCATCCACTCTTTATAATCATCTCCAGCAGGTGTTCAAAAGCTGTCGACGCTTCCTCCACTTCACTGTCCTCTCTCTCCGATCTGAACACGAGCAGCCCGAACGGAGAAACCGGGTGTCTGACAGCATGAAGTGCCTGAACAACCGCGCCGAGAGCCACCTGACGGGACAGGTAGAGTGCGAGTTGGACAGCGTGGACAATAGGGGATGGGTGAACCAGGGCTTCTGTGGCTCCCCTCCGCCCTCCGCCCCAGCTGTCAGCACCATCTACAACTCCCAGCCCCTCTTCCAGGGCTCCATGGACAGCATGTACAGACTGGACACCCCTGGCCCTTTCCTAGAGGAACCGCCATCCACGGACCAAAGCCGGGTGAAGAAACGAAGAGGCTGCTGCTCGTTTATCAAAGGTAGGAACAGTATTTATGCTCCGTCTTCTGTACAACTATTTTAATGTGTATGGAGGACAGCTAGCCAAGATCTTAAAAAGATTTATTTCACTGGAGATTTTGTTTTGTACTGAGTGAGTCTGGGTCTGTAAAATCAACTATTTTATTTATTTATTTAACCTAAAATGAATGTGGACAACCTTGTTGGCTTCTCAATTTAAGTCTGTAATGGAATATAACTACTTTACTACTTTATTACAATAATCAATACACCCTGTGCATGAAAGGTCTTTAAAAAACTGTATTTTGTCTGAAGGTTTATGGGGAACAACATTGACTGAAAACACCTCAAACAACCGGGAACTGTTTGTCCGAACCACGTTACGGGAGTTACTGGTCTATCTGGTGTTCCTGGTGGATATATGCCTCCGTAAGTATCCTACTTACACAATCCAATGTCTATTCCAGGCACTTGTGGTAGTCTCAAATTTTAAAAATGTTCAGTACTGGTTCAAACAGTATTTGCAACTGTCAGCACTTCTTCTAAATGCCGTATTGCACCAGAAAGCGTCTCATATACCTTAAAAAAATGTAGATACTTAAGAAGGAAAGCTGTGAAACTCGAATTAAACAGCTCATTTTCTATATTTATATTATGAAAACTGTTGAATTGAGGTGCAAGCATAGAAAAATTATCCAAATATTATTATCCCAAGTGCTTTTCACACATTAATCACCCATAATCTGATAAAGACTATTTAAAAGCGTATCTGGGTTTGACAAATACATTACTAATTTCAATAAAGTGAGTAACATATTTTGTTTTGTGTTCCTGTATTTATGTACCTTACGTCTACTTTAGTATATTTGTTTTTAGCAACGCTGATAAATTGTTGAAGTGCTCACCATTTGGATGTTACTGTATAGGGCTCTTTGGACTGTTGATTTACCATCGAATGCTTCACAAATGCCCTCCCCATCCCTCTGCCTGAAAGCCATTGTCCGGCTGAGCATTAGGAGTGAAAGGGACATGGGCATCTCTTGCCTTTTAGCGATAAGAGCATTTGGCCTCGTCCATTGTTGCTTTGTCTGGGTTAGATTGACATTGTTTGATGAGGCTATTTGCGTCAGGCCAGCATGTTCTCTCTTCAAACAAATTATGGCCTCTAATCTGGATCTGTTTGACTGTAGTCACATAAACACAGCCAAACAAGTCTTCAATGAGGCCTTGCGTGTCTGCCTTCTGAGCTGTCTTATCTTGGACCGCTGAATGGGGCAACATTTAGAGCAAAGCCTGAGCAAAGGCAGATAGGAATCAATTGATTGGGGCGTTAACAATGTGATTACGTTGTCTTTCAGTGACATACGGTATGACCAGCTCGAGCACCTACTACTACACTAAAGCCATGACGGACCTGTTTGTGAATACAGCCGGTGACAGTGGGGTTACGTTTCAGTCCATTGGCACCATGGCCGACTTCTGGACTGTGAGTTTTCCCTCTATGTTCACTACAGCCAGAAATCACTGAGAGATTAGAAAATGTATGCACTCTGTGTCTCTTTATATGAACAGTATGCCCAGGGCCCATTACTGGACGGCCTCTACTGGACTAAATGGTACAACGACCAGTCCCTGGAGAGCGGAGACCAGTCCTTCATCTACTATGAGAACATGCTGCTGGGAGTCCCCAGAATGAGGCAGATCAAGATCATGAACAACTCCTGCAAGGTCCACCGCGACTTCCAAGATGAGATCACGGGATGTTTCGACGTCTACAATGAGAAGAAGGAGGACGACCTTAGCTTCGGTCTCATCAATGGCACTGCGTAAGCCGCTCGCTGTTTTTCCTTTGGGGTAACTTTGGGTGCGCGGTTAGATTACAGAACTACAACAAAACTGTCTTCTTCCTCTGCAGTTGGACCTACCACACGGAGAAAGAAATCAAAGGTTCCTCTCACTGGGGCTTGCTGACCACATACAGTGGAGCGGGGTACTATCAAGACCTAAGTCGGACCAAAGAGGAGAGCGCCATCACACTGCAGGAACTGGTGGACAACCTGTGGCTGGACCGAGGCACCAGAGCGGTCTTCATCGACTTCTCGACTTACAATGCAAACATCAACATGTTCTGCGTCATCACGTAAAGAGCGCCACAGACAATAGCGACTTTAGCCACCGGTTGGTACGCATTCATTAACTTACCAGAGCTTTATCTGCTTCTTTCAGGTTGGTGGTTGAATTCCCAGCAACCGGAGGAGCGATCCCTTCCTACCAGATCAGAACAGTCAGACTGATTCGCTACATCACCACTTGGGACTTCTTCATCCTCGGGTGCGAGATGGTCTTCTGTTTATTCATCCTCTATTATGTTGTGGAGGAGATTCTTGAGCTGCGTATACACAAGTTCGCCTATTTCAACAGCATCTGGAACATACTGGATATTGTTGTGATAATGGTAAGAACACGTGGTTCTTATTTGACTCAAACATGTAGGTTTCTCTGATTTTGCTCGGCCTCAAAGAAGTAAAGTTGTTCTCCTTTCCAGCTCGCCATCGTTGCCATTGTATTCAATATTTTCCGAACTGTCAAAGTGGACAAATTGCTTGGAAAACTGCTCGAACAACCTGGTATCTACGCTGATTTTGAATTTCTGGCCTTCTGGCAAACACAATACAACAACATGAATGCAGTGAACTTGTTCTTTGCGTGGATCAAGGTAAAGCATCGACATCTTTCAGGCACATTTCTGAGCTTCATCCCAAAGATTGAGCACTTTCTTCTCTCCCTTTAGGTTTTCAAGTACATCAGTTTTAACAAGACCATGACTCAGCTGTCCTCCACACTGGGTCGATGTGCCAAAGATATCTTGGGCTTCGCCATCATGTTCTTCATCGTGTTCTTCGCCTATGCTCAACTTGGGTATTTGCTCTTTGGGACAGAGGTTGAATCTTTCAGCACCTTCGTCAAGTGCATGTAAGAGGAACCCACAACTACAGCTCGGCACATTTAAAAAGGTCGATAGAGCATTTATTAAATCAATCCTTTTCCTTTTTTCTGTCCGCAGCTTCACACAGTTCAGGATTATCCTCGGAGACTTTGATTACAATGCTATCGACCGAGCTAACAGAGTTCTCGGGCCGATCTACTTCGTCACCTATGTGTTCTTTGTTTTCTTTGTTCTGCTGGTAAGTCAGTGCGACACACAATGCTTTGTTTTAAAAGTTTGTAAAGGATGAAGATGAGCATTGTCATGATCTTTTTATGTATCTGCCCCTCAGAACATGTTTCTGGCCATCATAAACGACACATATTCTGAGGTTAAGGAAGAGCTATCATCCGAAAAAGACGAGCTACAGATTACCGACATCATCAAACAGGTAAAAGCAATCAGATTAATGTAAAATTAAACAAAAATGTGGATAAAGTTTTACAAGAGATACGAACAAAATGATTTTCCTTTGTAATTCAGAGCTATTTGAAGACATTTACGAAGCTGAAACTTAAGAAGGAGAAAATATCAGATGTTCAGAAAGCGCTACGATCTGGATCCGGAGAAATCGAGTTCAAGGACTTCAGAGAAACTCTAAAAGGGTAAGTGACAAGATATCAAAAAATAAGAGCACATGCTAACTTTAGTTTGAAACGTAAACCTCACCGACCGCTCTGACGATCTCGTAGGATGGGACATGCTGATCATGAAATTTCTGCAGCCTTCTCGCGGTTCGACCGTGACGGGAACCAAATTCTAGACGAAGTCGAACAAGAGAAGATGAAAATTGAGCTGGAGGAGAAGAGGGTTTGTGTAATAGTCTATATGGTTATAGATATTCGTACCATTTTCATACAATCTGACTTATTATTAGGCTTCACATCCGATTAAATACAGACCAAGCTGTGTTTTTAATGATGGTTTCCCCACTTTTTGTCAGGATGCTCTTTGCGCTGAACTCAACAATCTTGGGAGGAATTACGAGAAAGAATTACTGGAAAAGCCTCCTGTAACGTCCAATGAGCAGAACAACCACTCAGGTCAAACCTTTGTGGATCAGGAACAATTCCTAAGGTGGGTAAAGTTTTCACATTTAACCTACGAAAAGATTTCAGTACAGTGGATGTCAATCAAACGCTGAATTACCTTTTCTCTCCCCATGAAAGACTGTCCAGACAAGTTCTCCACCTTGAAAGCTCTGTGGAAGGCATCACATCCAGGATTGAGCTGATTATGGAGAAACTGGGATTACAAGAGAAAGCTAAAGGGAAACTGACTGTAACCAAGAACGATGTGAGTATGGAAATAGCCAAAGATTCTTGAACCTCGGTGAGTTCAGTCCAGTAAATTAAACCACTCTGTCTCCTTCGGTTTCATTCTTATCAATACAAAAAATGTTTGATTATCGATTACCCCTATCCAGAGAGATGGAACAGCCTCAGACGGGAGCGTCCTGGTTTGTGTGGACAGAGGGACGAAGGTGTCAGCAAGGCAACCGGCTGCTCGTACCGACGCCACACGCGACATTCACGTGATTAAACTCTGAGAAACACAATCACGGGTTAAAATCTGGAAGGGTGAACGGCTTCGAAAAACCACAAACATACAAACAACGTCGATGTTCAACGCTCTTAAAATGATGTAAATTCTGTATAAACACATTTTTGAAGTTATTTGCTTACTAGGTGACTGTAGAGCTAATATAATAAACTGGTTTGAAGTTTAAGCTCAGATATATACAATGTATGTTGTAATTATTAGTGTTGCGTAATATAACTTCATGTATATTAATGTTATACAATGTTATTTAACGTTAGACATCCGACTAAGTGACTGCTCGCTTTGCTTTAGTCATTTAATGTGTATGTTCAGTTACAGTTGCTCAAAAGCTTTCGTGTATAATTCCCGAATAGATTTCAACACATAGTTTAATAATTAATCGGTTTAATACCAAACAAAATAATACGTTTTTAAGCAAATGTATCTAAAGCACCAAGTATATTTAACATTCAGATGGTACAAACTTCAAAACGTCACTTAAATAATCATTAAATATGTTATTTACTGTGGTACAATTACTAAAAAAATACATGATTTCAGTTAATTTATGCTTTGCTGTCAGACTTTTTATGTAAAGTGCAATTCATCAGTGTCTAATAAACGTATTGAACGACCAAGATTCAAATGTTTCTTTATTTGAAGTGACTTTTTCCCCCCGTTGATTTCATCCTTTATTATTAAACATCACCTCTGTTGTTCAACTTAAAACGTATTGTATCGTCATAAAAGCAAACTGCCATATTACATTCAATATCTTAAGCAACAAATATATTACATGTCAATAAGTGTGCAGTTCAATCACCTCCTTCCTGCTACTTCCTGAAAAATGGCACACAAAACAAAATAAAACGGGAGAATCCACAGCGGAAGGAGAATTTAGATTTGTAACACAAAGTTTGAATTTACCGACACATCAATTAAGGCTTATTCATAAATTATATTGCTGAAATTTAACGATGGCATTTCAATTCATCACATTCTACCTACAGTATGTACATTATAAGTTTCATGAAGGTTTGTGATCGAGGTTTATATTTACACGGACCCTGTTTTCGTTACATGAACAACCCCCCCCGAAAGCTCCAACAAACAAACAAAATCATTAAGTTTGTTGGCTGGTACACCAGGATAAAGAAGAGCGAGCTCACAAAGGAGTGTAATACACTGTACAGAGTGGCACAGACGTAAATAAAATCCAAATGGCAGGACGTCTTTGAGAAATCCTCGTCAGAATTTGAATATTTTTAATAGTTTACCTGGAATATGTGGAAATATTCTGCAAATACTGAGAGAATTCAGACTGCACTGAGGGGAATAAAGGTAGAATAAATGTATAGTTCGCCTTAAAACGTTGTACAATTTGTCTTTACAAAAGTGGGTGAGTAAAGTACAGCATTTTGAATGATCATAAAACATGATGCAGTACGATCAGGGGCTGGTTTTGGTGCTAAATTAAGCAAAAACTCCCAGACAGAAGGAAGAAATGACTATAAATTAACTGAGGTTATCAAAAGGAAGGAAGAAAATAGTTGAGATTCAGTATTTTTCTAGGAAACCAGCCCCAGAATCAGCACACAGTCAGTTACCATTACAAAGTTTAGGGGTTGAGCTGTTTTTACAGTATTTTCTTTATATAATGAGCCTTTGAATTGAGACACAGGGTTATAAAGTAGTCCAATCTAAGGCTACATTAAAGTTTAAACTAAATCCATCAAAAGTCTGCAAAGAACATGCGGATCACTCGGATACAAAACATGAAAAAACCTAATTTATTTATTTATTTTTTAGCTTTTCGAGCTGTGTATGTGAAATCTTCTTTGTACACAAAAGAGACACCACGTCCCGCTCAAACCTCCGTTAAAGCCACAGTTGTTTATACAAATAGTTGCTTCACATATACTGGAAAGGTAAACTACCGTTCCCGAGGGGGGCCTCTATTCACAAAGCATTGTTCGTTAATATATTAAAAACAGGACTAAATATCTGTGAGCTGAAGCGAAGCCCGAACCAACTTGAAGCAGGTTGAACTGTAAAACACTGTCTGTTAACACTGACCTATGTGACAAACGTGTACCTGAAGTACTTGACTGCAGTTTTCTGTTGTATAAAATGAGTAAATGACACTTTTTTACTAAAATAAACAAACATATTGGCAAACTGAGAGCAGATATTGCTATTTTTCTGATAATTCAATAATAACGTTGTGGTTTTTTTGCTAGAGTAGCATGACTGCTTGTAGTAAGTGTAACTACAAGGACTTCAGAAGGTAACGATTACTCTTAAACTCTTAAAGGACTTTTTGAAGGTCTGGCTCAACTTATTCAGTGTGTGACTGAGAGAAAAGTCCCAAATCAAAGAGTCTCCTGTTAAGAAAGCTTCATAGGACCAAACATTTAAAGGGTACGTCCTTTAACATGTACTTGGACAAACGGTTTGGCTTTTCTTCAGAAGCCCAAGAGCACTTGAACTATGAAGCGATCATCAAATAAACTTTTAAAAAAGGTTCTGAGTGACACATTTAAAAACATAATTGTTAAACTGGCTGTTTAAGAGCAACTATTAGCTACAAAGGCTTTGTGAATATGGCCCCTGCCCCTCTTTTACCACAGCGGTGCTGCGTGGTCTAAAAAGGGTCGACAGAAAATCTCCCTGGTGTTACGCTCGAGTCACAGCCGGCTCACTGCGTCTGGTAGCCAGCCATGCTGAAGTTGGCCAGGTTGGACATGACTGGACCGGGCGGGGCTGCAGCCTGAGCAGACGGAGATCCGAAGCCCCCCACCCAGGCCGGCGACTGGGACTGCCTGCAAAACACAGATTGTTGTCAAGAGAGTTCGTTAAAGTCTTCTGGCCAACGTACAAGAAGCGAAAGTAGAAGTAGAACTCACTCTACTCCGAATCCTTGCTGGTTCCACGTCTGGCCGTACATGTTGTAGGAGGGAACTTGCCACCCGTTGGTCACATACTGGCCGTACTGCTGCTGTGGATTCCCGTAGAGCTGGTTCCACTGCCCCCACTGGCTGTACTCAACCTGACATCAACACAGAATAAGAGAAGAAAGAAATGTCCCATTACTAAAGCAGCATTCTTCATCTTTCTGCTTATTAAATATAAATCTGTTTTAATCTCTTGGGATCTCTAAAAACGTTTGTGTTTCTGTTTCATGTTTGGGTAAAAAAAACAAGACAAACCATTAAAATCTCATCAGTTTTACAGTTTCCTCACATCTTAGAGGTCAAAACACCAAAGTTATAGTTGTACAGTTATTATAAGTACATATAACTTTCAGTGTTTTACCTGCTGGGGATTTTTTGGCATGTCAGGAGATTCTTTGCCCCAGAAGCACTTCACTACGTGTCCTTCGATGGCCGTGCCATTTACTGAAACTATGGCGTGTGCAGCGCTGTCATGGGAGGAAAACCTTAAAAGGAAAACAGCAGCTTAGCGGTCAAATGTACCAATTCAGAAAATAAACTCACTAATAATAGCAGTGAGGTGAAGACAAACTAACAGCCTCCGAGTCATTCAATGAGCTTGTGCTGACATCTAGAGGCCGAACGCGGTAACGGACCGAGACTCTACCTGATGAAGGAGTATCCTTTCTCTGGGAAAACTCTGATTTCCATAATCTGACCAAACGGTGAGAAGGTCTGTCGCATCAGGTGTTCTGTAAAACACAGAGAACAAAGGTCAGTGTGTTCTTGTACGGTGATGATACGAGTACTGCGCAGCGAGACGAAGAGCTTTAGAGAACGCGACACTTGCCTGATAACCCGGACTGGATCCCTCCACAGTACACGGTGCAGTTCTGCGGGCTGGACTGAGTCACTACGTCGTCAAACCTCAGATGCTTTGAGCCATCTGAAAGTAAAACATTCGTAAAAAGAGATGTTCCTTCCTTTCACGGCTGTGATTTACGACTCGTGTGATGAATAACTTCAGTATTTGTTGTCTATAATGAAACGTGATAA